TGTAAACGTGTCTTAAAACCTTTGTTGATGAAGAAAAAGAAAACACATTTTGGATATTGCATTTACCGCGAAAATCTGAAGTTTTAGAAAGTCGGGAAAAAAATCGGCGGTGAATAGTGCTATCCGTACGGATGAATAGTAACATCCGTACGGATAAATAGTGTGTTCGTGCGGATGAACAATGTGTATGTATGATGAATAGTAATTTCCAGTTTTCGGGCTTTTTCGATTCCGTCCATGGATCAATGTGATTTTGGGCTTTCTTTGTTGGGTATTTGCTATTATAAATATGTATCTCTTATATGTTTGGTGTGTGACAATCTTAGAGTTTTCACCAACAAGGAAGACCAAAGGTTTAAAGGTATAGCATAGGGTTTTAGCTATGCACATAGAAAACCTTAGATTACACATTGAGTTTTAGTGATTCATATATTGAGAGTTTGAGAGGTAGGGAAACACTTGGAAGGTTGTTCTTGGGTGCCTTCAGGGTTGTTCTTGGGAACCTAAAGGTGAAGGCTATTTTCTTATAAGTTATCTGTAATCTCTTGTAGCAACTTTCTGAGTATAGTGAATTAGAGAGCTGCTCTCTCCCCCAGAGTAAATTGTTTGATCGAACTGGATAAACAAACCTTCGATTTTTTTCTTGCCTTATTCTGTTATATTATTTGTGTACAGATTATTATTGCTGAAGATAATTTATTTTGGTTTCTATTGTTCTTTGCCTCATAAATTGATATTGAATTTTGTTGTAATTCACAACACTACCGAATAATCATTGACTATCCTTCCACTCCCTTAACTAACCCTACCATTCGCTTCAACTCGTGAGCATTAACCCACCCCATCTTCTTCCAATACATCAAAACCCACAAATAACCAGTCTAATATTCCCTCCCAACCTATTAGAGATAACCAACCCACTCCTCCCATCGAAAAACCTACTAGGAAATCTACCCGCATATCAAAACCTCCCATACATCTACAAGATTTCCATTGTGCTCTTCTCTACCAACCTTCCACCACATCATCCATTAATAAAAGTAGTTCTCTTTATCCATTGTCACACTACTTATCTTGAAATAACTTATCCACTAATCATAAAGTTTTTTCTTTATCTCTATTTAACACTACTAAGCCCACTTCTTATGCTACTGTTGTCACTTACAATAATTGGAAACATGTTGTAGATTTAGAATTAAAAGCTATTAATGTTAATATCACTTGGCATCCTACTCCCATCCCTCATAACAAAAAGGCCTTAGGATGCAAGTGAGTTTTTAAGCTTAAATTCTACTTCAATGGCACCATAGAAAGATATAAAGCTCGCCTCGTTGCCAAAGGTTTCAAACAAACCGAGGGCATTAATTATCATGAAATATTTAGTCCAGTTCTCAAAATGACAACTATTCAGACTTTGTTATCTATAGTTGTCACTAACCAATGGCAATTACAACAATTATATATCAACATCGTGTTTCTTCATGGCGACTTAGAGGAAGAGGTGTACATGAAACCTCCCCCTGGCCTCTTAATTCCTTCAAAGAATCTTGTTTGTAAGATAAATAAATCCATTTATGGCCTCAAACAAGCCAGTAGACAATGGAACAACAAATCAACCATTTCTCTTATTAACTTAGGTTTTTTCAAATCTAAAGTGGATTACTCATTATTTACTAAGAAACAGGACTTCTTATTTACTGCCATATTAGTTTATGTTGACGATCTCATTCTCCCAGGAAATAATTTAAATGAAATCATCCACATAAAATTTGTCCTAGACAAAACTTTTACTATTGAAGACCTGGGACATCTTAAATATTTCCTTAGCATGAAATCAACACAAATACTGCTTAGATTTGTTGCAGGATACAAGTTTTCTTGGAGCAAAACTGGATTTTGCGCCTATGGATTCTACTGTTGATTTACATGCCGACACTACAAATCTTTTACATGATCCCACACATTTTAGAAGCTTACGCATTATCCGCTACACATTTCAACGCAGCTCTACGCATTATCTGCTACTTGAAAAACTCTTCTGCAACAAGCCTCGTCTTCAAATCAGGATCTAATCTAACCCTCACTGACTTCATAGATGTAGACTGGGGATCTTACAAAATTACCCAAAGATCAACAATTGGATTTTGTTTATATTTGAGTTCTTCTCTAATCAGCTGGAAATCGAAAAAAGTAGTAAGTCGTCTCTCGATCTTTGTCAGAAGTAGAATATCGCACCCTTGCCAATACAACTTGCAAAGCTCAATAGCTCATCCACCTATTGCAAGACTTCTCCGTCTTACATCCTCGACCAGTCATCATCTTCTACGACAATCAAAGTACAATCAACATTGCCAACAATCTTGTTTTCCATGAGTGCACCAAACACATCGAGATGGATTGTCATCTCGTGCGTGACAAAGTTCATGATCAAATTGTTCATCTTCAACCTATCAGCTCCAATAACCAAGTTGCAGATATTTTTACAAAGTCTCTTCATCTTAGTCCTTTTTCTCTTCTTCTTTCCAAACTGGATCTCCTTTCCATACACTCTAGTTTAAAGAGGGTGTTAAAATATAACTTAGATTTTTTTCTCCTTTTTTAATATTACTGTTACAGTTTTTTTCTCTCCTCTATTTTAGGAATAATTTATTACCAACTTTATATATATATTCCCTTGTACACATTCACAAAATAATAATGAAAAATAATTTTGAGTTTCAATTCCATATTCTATAGTCTTTTGAGTTGTTATGACTAAAATGCATACAACTTAATATTAGTTAATACTTAAAAATAAATAAATAAAATATTGTAAATTCAAACTTACATTGCAATAATCAAATACATTTCTATAGTTAAATCTCTTGCATACGAGGTATCGATCAACATGAAAACACTGGATAGAGAGACAAGTAATTTGTCTATTACAACAAATTTGCATCAAGGTTTCAACCATGAGCCCTAACTCTTACACTTTAATTTCAGATATACTTAGGAACATTTTCAAGAGTTAGCATTGAGATGCATGTTTTTTTTGCTAATTATATAATTCTACTTTGAGTGTCGAATAAGAATTTAAATGAAATATTGAAAATTTAGAGACAAGTTCTAGAAACGTATGACTTTCACTAAAATAGAAGTAAGAAAAAATATATGGAATATAAATTCAACAAAAGGAGAAGTGTTTCTAACGTAAAGGTGAAACTTGAAGACCATATCATTCCACAAGTTACGTGATTTAAATATATTAGGTCCGTAATATAAAATGATGGAGAAATAGAAGAAGATGTAAATCGTCGAATTCAAGTTGAGTGTGTGAAATGGAAGAGTACTTTAGAAGTTTTATGAGACATACAAATATCGCACAAGTTAATGGGAATTTTTTATTGGAATGTAATAAAACCTATGGTGTTTTACAAAATAAAATGTTGAATAGTTGAGAATCAACGTAAAAATAAAATAAGTGTAGCATAAATAAAAATATTATATTAAAAGTGTGCTAAAATTAAATATGATAAAATTAGAAATAATAATATTAGATAAAAAGCTTCATAAACTTTGACTTCAATTTTTTTTTAAACTTTAGTTATTTTCTAACTTATTTTGAAAAAAAAGAATAATTAAAATGGGAGATAGAGTTATAGGTGAGGAAGAGTAGGCATGGTCTGACTTAAAATTACATAAACCTAACAATAATATTAGAAAGTGTATTAGAATAACACATATAATACAAGTAGAAAAAAGATTTTGTAATAAGAGGTTAATTATGACGAAAGTTATTAAAAATATTTGGAAATTAAGAATTTAGATAAAAAAAATATAATTATAAATAAAATATTATGGATCAATGTAGCTGAATTTAACTAGTAGTGCCATACAAATCATATTTCACTATTATTTATAAATAATACTCAAATTATGGAATCTTAGAGTAATCATAAAACTTTTTCACACCACAAATGCATGCAATTTTTTTGAAAAAAAAAATAGATTAACCTCATTTCTTGTGATCACTAAATGTGAATGTATCAATGTTGGACTTGGCTATTACACACTCTAAAGTCTAAATGTAATACAAATAAGTTGAACTTGGCACATTTGAAAGATAATATAATAAAATAGTGAAAGAATGTTACAAAGCTGGCGTGATTGGGAATTTTTTTTATAGAAAAAAATTAAGTTGCCACCTGTATAATATATATATATATATATATATATATATATATATATATATATATATATATATATATATATATATATATATATATATATATATATATATATATATATATATATATATATATATATATATATATATATATATATATATATATATATATATATATATATATATATATATATATATTTGTAAGAACCACGCATATAATTTCTTGCCCTAGTGGTATTTGTTTATACATGTCTATATTTTGTGACGGAAGGTAAACTTTATATTTTTTTAATTAATATATATTCTATTTAAATCTGTCAAAGATAATATTTATTTATTTATTTACTGCTTCAATAATGTATGGTTCAAAGTATGTGAATAAATGTTGTTATTTAAGGAATAAAGTGGCAAAATTATAATCACAAAGAGTACAATACTTATCTACAATACAAAGTGTATATAAAGCTATGTTGCCAAACCCAATACACGAATAAATCAACATTTTGTACACGACTATTTCTAATTAGTCATAAAACTTTAATATTTCCTTTTCACAATTTATTGAGTCTTCAATTGCAGAATCTTTCTTTTGACTCCCTACCAAACAAGTCCTAATCCATCCTTCAATTCCTAGCACAAACTAAAAATCATAAAAATTAAATTAAAATAAAACACACTATTTTTTGTGTACTAGTAGAAAATTAGTAATTCTTAATTTAATGATCCCATTGTTGTTTTTTTGTGGGCTCAACTTCTAGAAATTTTACTGAACTATTTAAATTTTCTAATTATTATTTTTGGATACCACTTAATTTTTTTGTGGTATTTTGGATTATCCTTGATATTGATGATGAGGACCTAAAACCAATTGTTGATTCATCAAAGATTGCTTCGTGAGGTAGCTTTCATACTGTGTATTGATGTTAGAGAAATTGCATGAGGAACTCAAGTATTTCTTTGATGGGTACACTAACATGTTGTTGTCTTCATCAATGTTTGAAAGCTGGTGCTTTAAAGGGTTCTTGTTTTGTGACATGAAATTGTTGTTTTGGGAAGATTGTTGTTGTTGTTGATTAAAGTTTTCAGTGTTGTTGAAGCTTGAACTTGATCCAATTCCTGATGGATTGTTGGAATGGTTGTTTTCAGATAAGAAACTGCTTAGCATGGAGTAGTCCATAGCATCTAATAGGTTTGAGAAAGAAACTGATTTTTGTGACATGAGTGTGTTTTGATGAGGAGATGTTGTGTTCTTTGTGATTGGGAAATGAGTTTCTTTGTATTGCGCCTCGTCCGCATGTTCGACTTCGCCTATCATTGTATCGGATTCGGTTGAAGTTATCGCGCATTTTGATTTCTTGTAAATTCTACATAATACCCAATCATCCAACTGCAAAAACAATAATACAATTAATATCATCAAGAAAATATTAACAACCACGTTAAACTAAACAGAAACATCATATATTACCTATGATGTTTCTGTTTAGACGTGGTCGTGATAAATATTAATATCACCATCACAATTAGAAACACTTACCCTCATGGAAGAATCTTTGAGTTTAATTGGTTTATTATTATCAACCAAACGATACTCATGCATAATCCAATTAGTTTTAATACCCTTTGGAGGTTTTCCTTTGTAGAAAACAAGTGCCTTTTTGACACCAATAATATTCTCTTGTGATCTTCCTCCAGATGGCAATGATGCAACTATTGTCTTATCAGTTCCAGTGGCTTTCCAATACCCTGAAGCAGCTGCCCTGTTTGGCCTTGCACCATTTGGGTACTTTCTATCTCTAGGACTGAAAAAGTACCATTCTTTCTCACCAAACAAAGCCTTAGCTGAAAACAACAACAATAAAAAAATTTAATTAACATCACACATTATTAAATAATGGAAAGCAGAGAAAAGTCTAGTTAAGTCTGCCGTGGGACATCAGGTGCAACGACACAGGTTCAACTCACATAATTCACGTGAAATACCTGGTAATTGCCATGGATCTAATTTGTAAATATCAACTTCAGCAATGATGGAAACAGGTAAAGGAATAGAAGCAATCTTTTTCCTAAGGTAGTGAAGAATGAGTTCTGCGTCAGTAGGGTGGAACCTGAAACCGGGGGGGAGATTGGACTGTGGGGTTGCCATGTTGTTGAGGGGTTTGGTGAAGAGAGAGAAAGAAGAGAGAGAGGATTGAAATTTTTGGGATAGGGAGGATGGGAGGGGTTTTATGGTTGTGAGAAATTTGTCGTTATGTGGGAAGAGATTAGGCCAAGGAGGCTAGGGGGTATGAATGAGAAAAAAATAAGATGAGTTCCAAGAACCATGATTTTTCCAAAAGTGGGGTCCATTTTAAAGAGATGGATAGAAGCAATGTGAAAACGGGAGATGGATGACAAAGACAAACCCAATCCTTGATGACAAAAAGATATTTAGACTAGTTTTTGAATGCTAGATAATTACTACACCGATGCTTCATATTTGAATAAAAGCAAATTCACATTTTAGTTAAATCTAAAAAATAAAATACACATTTTTTTATTAAAAGTGAGTACATTTTATATATTTTAATTATTTTAGTTTTTTTTATATGATTATTGTTTAATGATAAGATTTATTATATAATGACAAATTTTGACCACTTGTAAAAACAAACAATTATTTTTAATGATAAATGTTTTTTTTTTTTAGTGTTTCATTGAGAATATATTATCAAATATAATTATCATTCAACTCTACTTGCTTCAATTATTAAGTCAACATTATACCTCGTATAATCATACTATTGTAATCGGAGTATTTCAAGTTTCTTGATAAGTTTCATGGTATTTTAAATGATTGTCCTTAAGTGTGAGTGATTAAGTATAATATTGAAAATATTAAGAGAGATTATGCATATATTTTTTCTTAAGAGTTTAGATGTACACATGTTGTCTCTTTCTCTGCTAGTCCTAGAGAATTGGATCTTGTTTCGTTTAGGAATCAAAAATATATTTAGTTGTGAAGAATTGAAGATTTTGAAAGGCAGATACTGATCTTACCTACAGCAGTGCGCAGTGGATTTGTATGGATAATACTCCAACGTTAAAGTCAGTTTAAAATTTAAGACAAGTATGAAAAGTGGAGATCATAAAATGTACATTGATTTCGCGTGTGAACTGCTACTATATCTTGGGTTAGGTGCAGTGGATTTGAGATGAATTAGGCCTTAATCGTTTGTGTCTTTCGCCAGCCCAGAACAATTGCACCCAAGGCTTTGTCGGGCACTGAAGGAGTTGGGAAAATCGTATGTGATGTTTGTCGCTTATATGATGTCGTTGAGCTCAAGGCTAGTAACTCTGAGATAAAATCATGGATGGTCAAGCAGGAAAAGACAGCTGAAGAAATCAAGACTTGGATGGCAAAGCAAGAAGAATCCACTTCTAAGATAACCAATCTTCTGAGGATTTTGGCTTCTCGTCCTTCTTAGTTTCTTTGTTTGTGCACTTATTTGTTATCTGTTTGTCTGTTTCTATTTTGGATAATGTTTATCAAATGCTCTGAATGTTATGTTTTTTCCATCAAAATCTATCTTGTGCTTTATTATTTTTTTCTCTGTTCTTTATTTTCTGTCTTAAAGTTTTTCTTAATCAAGATTCTTTTTTATATGACAAAAAGGGGGAGAAAATGGTAATTTTGATAATTCACATAAACAGTTACGAAAGGCAACTCATACATGATAAATTTCATCTAATCATATTTTTGAGTGTTTCAGAGCTAATGATTCTCATCTAACAAAATTCTAAGAATTAACTCTGAACTAAAGTCTGAGAATCTACAAGTTTCCTCTGATGATGGAAAGAATACAGAAGCTGAAAGGGAAGTATTTAATCTTTTTCAGAAGTATTCATTTCAGGGGGAGATTAATATTTTCAGGGGGAGAGATATTTCTTTTCTATTTAAACAAAATTTGCCATAGTTTTTATCATCATCAAAGAGATTGTTAGAACACAGATTGGTGTTTAATATATCTCATAGTTTTGATGATAACATTAATGAAATTTTGTATAGAGAATTTATATACTCTAATTTTGTTCAAGTGTTTATTTGTTTCAGATATCAAAATTAATATTATTCTGGAAGCAAAAACGCCTCTGAACACGACAGAACGAAAAAGCTCTGAGCGTCAGAAGCAACACATCAGAAGACTCTGATCTGCTACAAATGACTCTGAGCGAAGCTGAGAAGAACTTGAATAAAGAACATACGTAAAGCTTCAGAAGACTCTGGAAGTACTTAACGCTGCAAGTACAGAAGCTCTGATAAGCAAGTATGCTCTGATAAATAATTTCACGCTTAAAGCACTTTGCTGCAAACTTTGATAGAGAAACTCTGATTGAGTTAACTCTGATCTGAAGAACTAGGAACATCATCAGAAATTCTGATGCAAGACGTGCCAAAGTTGTTGAAGAAGATGTTGTTCAAATAAAGATTCGTTGTCATATTCCTTGTCCTTATCTAAATGCCTCTTTCCTCATTCGTGCATGACACAGGAATTCAGACAAAAAGGATATGTCAGAACATTCCCCTTCTGAGAAAGGAAAAGTTAGTAGAAGACAAAAAGAACAGAATGCACAGATTGCACAGTCTTTGAGAAATGGATTTCAAAGTACTATAAAAATAAGTCTCTGCATCACTTCAAAGGTTAACGAATTTGAAACAAACCACCAATGAACTATTGACAAATCATTCAACTACATATCATTCAAACATTCTTCAAGCTGAATAGTTTTTCTTTTCGTTCTTAAACTTGTGTAAAAATCACTGTTGTGATATAGCTTTTTAGAAGCAACTCATAAACACAAATTTGTTAGTTTATCTTTTGTAAAAAGATTTCCTTAAGAAGACCAAGTTGTGGTCAGAATTTCTTGAGAAGACTAAGACAGTTGTCTTAGTGGTTTACACTGTAATCAAGTTTGATTTAATGGATTAAGCCCTTGTTGAGAAAGGCAAATCACCTTGGTAGGGTGGACTGGATTAGTTTGAGTTCAAACGAACCAGGATAAAAATACTGTGTTATTTTTCTATCATCTTAATTGTTTTAAAACCCTTATTCAACCCCCCCCTTCTAAGTGTTTTTCCTACCTTCACTTTCTTCATAGCTTGTTGATCTTCTTGAATCTCACTAACGTCACGTTCTCACATACAAGATTAGTTTCAGAAGAAGAACCAACTACATCAACTTGCTTAGCCTTCTCGGCATCTTCAGCTTCTTGTGTCAATCTGACAGTTTCTTTTCTTGAATCTTCCTCTGCTAGAATTCTCACTTCTCCAGCAGCTCTTTCTTCAGCTTCTTTTTGCTTCTCAGTAAAATTTTTGAAGTTTCTTATCCTTTCTAGCTTGTCTTCTCTTTTCTTAACCAGTTGAACTTCAGCTTCTAGTGACTTGAAAAGCGTCCAGATTCAAAGTTTAACCACTTCTGAGAGCCGTTTCAGAAAGTCTCAAACTCCAGAGGATGAAGGTTCAACAGAGGATGAAGGACATGAACATACTCAGAGAAATGAATAGTGCTCAGAGGTGATGTGTTGAAAGGACAGAGGAAAATGTTCAGAGGGATTTGCAGATGGAGAGGAGCTTTCAAGATCAAGACTTTCACTTTTCAGAAAGCTCATATATCTTTGAGATTCTGAGATCTTCAGATTTATTCTTTCTCTGAGTGCTTTCCATTCTGACTTTTATCTTTCGTCATCTTGTTTCTTCAACATCAAAACACTATACTTCAGAAGTATCAGAGTTTGATTTGATAGAACTTCTTCTAATTAAATCTGTTATCTAGATCTCCAGATAATCCAAATCTTTAGATGATCTACGACTTCAGATTTGCTCAGATCTTTAGAAGAGCATATTTGACACCAATAGAAGGTAATGTGCGAAAAATGTGTTCTGGTTCTTCAGTCTTATGCATATGATAGTTCTTCAGCTGATTCTTCATCCAGAGTTTCTGATACTTCAACAAGCAGCAACAACATATTTTGCTTCTGCAGTAGAGAGTACTATATTGAGTTGCTTCTTACTGTAACAAGGATCAGATTTTCTGACAGCTTCTAGATGTGCTCTTGCACTTAACTTTGTCTTCAGCATCACATAAACCTACTAAATTATATTCAGCTAATTTTCTCTAACAGAGAGCCATGTTAGTAGTACCTTTCAGATACCTCAGAAATCTCTTAACAACTGTTAAGTGAGATTCTCTAGGATCTAATTGGAATCAAGCACATAAACATATACTGAAAAGAATGTCAAGTATAGAAGCAGTAAAATACAGAAGAGAACAACTCATACCTCTGTACAGCTTTTCATCTACCTTTTTACTAACCTCTTCTTTTCCCAGAGTGTACGTTGAATGTATGACAACCTTAGCTGGCTACTCTCTGACAGATTAATCTTCTTTCAATTACATTCTTCTTTTGAATCATAATGACTTCTTCAACTTCATTTCTTTTGAATAGAAACATATCTCCTCTGATGTTTGTATCATCTTGAACAATAGTTATGAATTCCAGATTCTTTCTTTGGTCTTCATCTTCTGATCATCCATCTTCTTATACCAATTATCACGCCTCTTTATCTTCTTCCAGACAACTTGTTTTCTGATGAACGCTAGTTTCTCATAATAGGCATAAGCTTCAAGAAAGATTATGAGCTGAGGAAACTTGCTGACTTCTTGCATCATAAGAACTTATCCTTTGAATAGACGTAGTTAATCATCACAAACTATCATCAAACCAAGATGTATTTCTAGCATCTGTTTGAATGACAATCTTGCTCTTTATCCACCAGCATCAGATCATCTGATGGCGACTTCTTCTGCTAACCCATCTTTGGTTTCTGATTCCAAGCTTATTATCAAATTCAATCATGACTTGAATCTTAGTAACAGTGTTTTAATTGAGTTCTTGATACCAATTTAGACTTCCAGAAACAATATGTATCATGATAGATACTAATTGCATTCGGTTCTGAGTAATCATTCTGACTACTGTATAGAATGCTTTTATTCTTCATGATTACATACATTTCTTTTGAAGTTTGTTCTTTCTTCAATATTTGTACTTGATTTTGAAGAACTAGAGCTTTAGATACTTCTGCTTTGTCTTCTTAGACATTCA